TAAACTATAACCCAATTATCTAGACTAGCCACAGATGGTAGCTTTACAGATCTCCCGGAAAATATTACATTTCAACTAGTCACGTGGGGTGAAACATTTAAGCAAGTAATGGCTCTACTGTGCTTAGGCGCCTACAGTGCATCTCCGAACGAGGGCGTAATCGAGCACCAGTAAAATATGTCATTATTTATAGACAAACCAGACGAAATATATCCTATATGGAGTAGCTACTACGAATGGCTGCTCTACCGTCGAAGTTGCAAAGCTCTCGATCGTGGTGGCTACCTCAGAACAACCGAGATATATTTCACCTAATTTTGTCCATGTATTTGTGTATGTGTCACATTCGTTTGGTTTTCGACCACTAACCGTTAAGCCCAACTCAGAGATGCACTTAACTTCCGATATCGGATTGACACCATGTAAACCTCTGCTGCCCCTTTGCTTCCAGTTGCTTAAGGGAACCATTTAGGTATAAATAATTGAAGTAATATTTATTAATTTAATAGCTTCGCCTAAATTATTGATGTCCAAACCGCTTTGTTAAAGAAGAGAAAAAACATTCAAATGAATATATATACAAATTCAAAAAAATGCGCTACATTTTTCTGGGTCAGCTGCTACCCGGAGCTTGCTCCTGTTTCGGTCATCACCGTTAGCATGTCTTTCCGGAAATGCCTAAATTTGATTCTGATATCTTCAGCCGCATGTCAAGACAAAATCTAAATACGTTGCTTTTCAACTGCGGTGCTCAATCTCGCAAATATTACTAGCCGTACTACTGTTGGTAGCTGTAGATACAGCCATAAAACAATACCAGAACCGCTAAAGCGGATCTAGCATTAGTGTCCTGTGACTACTAGTACTGCATGAATGTTAGCATCATCATGTCTTACTGTTATTAGCACTACGCTAAATAGCGCCACAAATATTAGTACTTTTGTTTGTAACCAGAAGAAATATTCATCATATTACTAGGAAGGAAAAAGCGCTGTGTTGTCACTGCTGGTCATGGTACTGTATAATGAACAGCATATTGCTACTAATTGCTCTCTGCCAGTCATAAAGCCACTGAGATTGGTAACAGCAACAATTAATATTATTATTAGCATTATTAATGAATTACTAGATTATGTGGATGCGATTCCTTCACTCACCGGGATGAGTAGCACTATAGATGCTATGTCCTGTGAGAGCATGGAACAAAAATGCAGATTTGGTGCACTTCTTTATGTCTTCAAGCCAACTGGCTGTGTCCCAACGAAAAAAAGTCGGCTGAGCAGCGGAGCAGAGGTTGCGGAGCAGTAAATGTTCGCTTTCCCAGTAAGGTGGCATTCGCAATTGTCGGTGTCGCTTTCGACACGTCAGTAATGCGTACACATGTGATAGCTCTGCCTTTGTCACTTTCACACTGCTGTCCAGGTACCAAACGACCGCGTGATCTTTGATCGCGTCCTTAAATACAACTATTAATAAGAATCCATGAGTTTAGGCCATCCTAACCAGATGCTTGATAAAAACACGGTTGCTTTGGAAGCACTATTCTAACTTATTCAACTCACCTGCAGTAGCCGTGCTTTCAACGGCGCCATTCAAAGCATACCAGATCTGTGTATTTTCCTCAATTATACCAAACGTCAGTCGTTCCGTTCACTGTCCGAAGCCTCATCGATCCCAAGCGAGGAGCAATCACTTTGGATCAAACTCTGATCAGCCTGATATGGATCCGCTTTCACTGCTGGTTAGAAGTAGTTACATTAGCTTTTGTTTACTATTTATCCATGGTTCTGGCAAATTACCGTATATACTGGGGTTCGCAAAAATAAATTTGACTGACTGACTATCATCACATTTAATTATGAAGCTGTCCTAATGACAGAAATATTGAAGCAATGTCTGACTGTGTCATGGACAAAAATTTGCGTCATGCGAGAACGGTAAGAACTACAGTAATGGACAGCAAATCAAAATGAAGCACGATGGAGACTACTGTCTTCATCTAACATGGCAACCACTACGGTGACCTGAAAAAATTAGTTAAAATTTAACTACATATCATCAAGTGCTGCAGAAAACCCCATCGCTGTCTAAAGCTTATCAATCAACCACGCTACCTGAAAATAGGCGCTGAAACGTCAGTATCGGTTTTACCCAAGGCTATACTATACTCTTGAACCGTATAATAAGAAACCGCTAACATTTTTGATTATTCTGTCTTAAAGAATACAATCAGTTTCATGGACGAGCTGAAAACCATAAATAATAAAGGTATTTAAGCATCCAACTTCGTCTTGCGCCGAAAATCATTGAAACAGGTCATGACGCACAGAAGCAACGCGACATGTACTTACTTGACTATCGCAACTACAGTAATTTCTAAAATCTGCAGTTCAGTATCGGCAGGAAACTGTTTCTGAAACTTGGCAAACGAAGTACCATTAGACATGCTGAAAATTGCTAAACCACTTGGCTAATGGTTTTGAAACTCTTGGAACCGTAAAAAGTTCGAATGACCATTCTACTATCCACCAACAGTTGGTAAATCGTTCATACTAAACTAGCTGCGTGCTACGTTGCAACTTAGAATATTTGAGCGTTGTGATGATATTCTTTATGTTTAACGAAATATCTGTTTGTAAGCAGTTTACAAACAATAAATGATTGATGGCGGATATACTGTTTCTTTTTCTTGGCATAATCTCTAAATTATAAAAATTTTTTTACCGCGATCAGCAGACACTTCCACCGGTACTGTTTAAGATCCGACACATATGACGGATAGGATTCGAACGGGAATCGCCGGTACTCCACATTGCACATCCGCCGAACCGCGTGGACCTCTTTCACTACGTCGAGCCCCAAGTCATAGTAAAGGATCCGGTGATCAGGAAAGAGCCGTTGCACGTCAGAGACCACCGCTAAAGAATGCCGGTAGAAAGCATGTGAAGCTGCGGTGACGAAAACGGGCTTTGGCAAATCGGACGTCTCTTCCAGCCTCGTATGGTACCTGTCCGATCTACCGAAGAACCCAAATTTTTGAAGGTGGGGCATCCATGAACAGGAAAACGGCCTTCCTCTACGGTTTCTTTCTGACGGCATACGGTAACAAACGTCAACTCTTTGCCCGGTAACAGCATCGACGCAGGTACAAACATCAGAAAGACCAGCACGAGAAATAAGATTTTTTAGTAACACCTAAAATACCATAATTAAATTATGCAAAAAAATTCAATATTATGAAAATCAAAGATTCTGATGATTATTAATTATCAACAAAAGAAAGGAAAGTTATAAGAATCTTCAGTTAAAACTCTGTCGTTGCCGGTCGCAAGCCCATAACAAGGGAATTGGATTGGAAACTGTAGAGAGGTTCCGGTGAACTTAGTCACCTGTCTCTCATAATATTGCTGATATTGAACGTTATACCCGTTCGATCGTCGCTCGAATTATCAAGGGCGGCGCAGATTGTTTGGGGACTGAAAAAGACTGTGAAAAGTTAGCAACACAACCTGCTCACGACCTCTAGCATACGGGGGTGTAGCAGCACAACAACTGCCGAAAATCGACAAGAAGACAAAAACACCAGTTAGGAACGGCGTCGATTCCTGTCTGAACAGAGAAGGAAGACAGCGCAATGGCATTATGGCACCGGAAGTAATCGCAACAAACGAAGTGACTTTTGAAATGTCCGAAATCTACGATGATACTCTGAACCGCAGATCACTTGCGAAGGATTTAAGTTTAAAAGTTAAACTGAAAGTTTAGATGATAAAGAAGTTAGTTTAAAAGTTAAATTTGATAAAGACAGTTCAAATTCAGTGGATACCTCATATGCAGCCATCAAGCAGAAAATGACCACAATGAGCAAAAGTAAAGCTTTCCTATGAATTGATAATCTTGCTTTACGCGAGAGGGTGTTGAAAACATTCCACCGCAGCCATAAACACCACTGCATGATTACTGCAGCTTTACTTCTAACTGTTTCAACGTACCGCTTTCATTATAGTACATAAGTCAGTATTTGCAGGTACAAATAATAGTCCACTATAATGAAATGCTTTTAATAAAATCGTCAAAACACATGACTTGTGCCATACCGTCTGTGGTAAACTTTCAGCCAACCAAATTTAAGAAACCCACACCTATGTTTTGAGCCTGTCCATACTCTAAAAAACAGATGGCTTATTACGCACCGATGGCCGTCAACGGATTTTGCCGCAGCAGCCGTTTGAAGTGCACTAGTGGACGTTTCGTGGAAATGATAGATGATAGATAGAGGCAAGCCGCTTTTCACAGTCGAGTAGACCATACTAAATGTTTTAATTTTTTATTTTCCACGACTGCTTTTCCTTTATGATCGCTGAGGCAAACACGTCAGACAGTGCTTCCAATACTCCCGATCTAGTGCCAGAGTCTGAGCTTCAGCAGAAGACAACTGGAGTCTGGAACAGACCTAATCCATATATTTGCACGGGTTAATTTTGGCATTCTGATTCTGATTCACCGCATATCGTATCGCCCCTTTACTCCTAACTGCCAGGAATTGTCGCAGTCAAGACTGAGTCATGAATGTAAACTGCGACAACCTCTGGCAGCGATACTGCGTAAAAATGAATGAAACCTTTCGCTCAGCTCAGCGGAAATGGGGAGCGAGCGAGAGGCAACGACAGGCAGCGTTGAACCGGCACTTCCATCGGTCGGTCAAACTAAAGCAGTGCCAACCGATCACCAGTTAACTTCTTGTATAGTTTACGTAGACTAGGTCACGAACAGTGAAAAATGATCGTTTGAAAAACTTTCAACATCCATTCAGCTTCATTGCTATTTTACTTTTTGTACTTCAGCAAGAATTGACTTGTTTATTGCCTTTGATGAGACAACACAATAAGCATCAAGCACCGGGCGAAGGCTTGGCCATGATGGTAATGACAACTGGAGGCATCTGTTAAGCTTCTGTATTACAAATTGCTCAGTCGACGGCGTAACCTTTTTACACCATAAGCATATTCTTAAAAACCACCTGGACGTACCCCGATGGAAACCTAAACGCTCAGTTGGGCCATCTGTTCCTAATCAGCAACAAATGGTTCTGCTTGAAACTTGAGATTTTGCAGGCATGGCAACACCATACGATCATTGCGGAACTTCGTCAAAAATGAGACGTGCTGCATTGAGGTTGTCTGGTTAAACGAAACATTAACTGTTCTCTGTTGACAGACTAACTGTA